GTAATATTTTGGCTTGAGTTAAGTAGATCCCTCCTTCACCAATGACCCGCTCCCAGTGCCCCGAAAGCCTTTGGACCTCTGGTACCTTCGGTTTTTCAACAAGTGCGAGTAAATTGCTGTTGATGCCAATTTCGGCGAATGACAAAACGTTGTGACGTTTGCCGTCGGAGAGTACCCTCAACTGACCAGAACAGTTGGAATCGAACGGCTTTATGTTGGGCGAATGGGGCGATTGAACCCAGGTCTCAGTATTGTTTGTGTCCCAGCACTGCCCTACAATACAGTTACTCGGGGTCTGGCACTATGACGAGCAACGGTGGCCTTCTTGTAGTTGTGTGGTATCATCCATTTGTCGATCTGATTGCCGAGGAACAGGCAATATACACCGACAGCGACGATTTTATTCTCTGTATAGAGCCGCCTGAAAGCCACAGTGTGGGAATCCTTCGCTATGATGATCATCCACTTGCGCCCACGTAACTCCTCATGGTAGAACTCGGGCGGCTTCTCATCTGCATTCATACAAAATTGACGATTGTGAGTTTTGGCTCGAGGTCCAAGACCACCCATATTTCATCTAGGGCCGGGGTGCGTTTTCACAGTCGTGAATGACATCTCATGCTGAGAACATTACTGCTAGAGGCATAGAATCGGTACTGCGTTCGTGCTTCTACAAGAAAATTAGGTACCCATGCGCACACCCTCTTGACCATCCTCAGTTTATCGGACATAACTCGGGCAGCAGTTGCAGCTGGGATGTCAGACTCGCGGGGAAGCTCGACAAAGGTCCAGGCTCTGTGATCAGACATTCAGCGCTTGACTTCATCCACCCTTTTTTCTTGTGCAGGATGAACATTATGGGACCATCCACGACAACAAATTTTTTCCTTTCTTCCTTCTTCGGGCTCCTGAACCAAACCTTCCACCTTGTATTTCGAGAACACCATTACACACAACTACTGGTCCGGCGCAGGTCAAATTTGAGCAGCGCACTTTCCTCTTATGACGCCTGATTTGAAAATCCGGCGCTGATTTTCACCACTCGGGCTTCTTTTCAATTTCTCGACTTCTTCTGTGGGTAGATTCGCCAAATTTCACAGATACATAGCTAAAAGTACTAGCGGCCCGCTGCTCTATCCCTTTGCTTTTCTGCATTCCTCTATATGTATCGGCACTTTTGAATGGGATGACCTAATAATATGAAAGCGTAGTATGTATATATATTATATCTTACTGGACAACGAACATAGTGAATTTCAGCTCCAGAATAATTTTGAAACCACCATAGCGGAAAAAAAACTGGGCACAGATGATTACCAAAGGTCTAGATCTTGCGATTTTGTGGTTCAGAGGTGGTCAAGCTGGGTCAACAGCTTGACCACCTCTACACCACAAAAATCGCAAGATCTAGACCTTTGATAATCACCTGTTCTTCGCGACCCGTTGTCGCATAATGGACGAGGGCCAAGGGGAAAGAGTGCTAAGCCCAAGACCTAGTTTGTAAGTGACGGTAAGCTTAATAATTCAATAAGGAAATGGTTGTCCTCGAATTGTATAGTCGCCACGATGCGGCGTACTTGTAGCAGTTTATATCTGAATCTCGAAAATGAACCGGATAGTGATTTGAGCCTCTGGAGCGGACGTAAGTCCCCATTACTCTTGTCGCGAGTGCAGTAATAATGTGCCATGCAGTACTGTGCAGCATCTGAAGTCAGTACGGGTGATAGATCCCACTCTCTCTTAAATTCCTGGAGTGACCATCGATTGTTCAGCTTGACTGCCGAGCGGGTAGGCTAGCAGCAGCGCGGGCGAGAAAAACTTTCTTCCCCGACGACGCGCACGCGGCGCGTGTCGAACGATGTTGCTGATGATGAACGATGATGGTACTAGGACGGACTGGACACTGACTGGCTTTGTGTCTTTTGCTCTGCCTATCCCTGGAATACGTTTTTCAGCGGCAAGGCACCAGAAAGTGCATCGCCTTAGACTGCGTTCACGGTCGGATCGCTCCATTGGATGTGCAATCGGATCACACGTTCACGATCGGGAGCGCTGCACTGCCAAGAGGTGTACCGCCACGAAACAGAATTTAAACTGGCACCGTGTGAACGCAGGCCCAAATTGAGTACTGGCGTCGCGGCGGTACACCCCTTGGAATGGCGTCCCTGGTCAAGTTCGCGCCATCCCATCGCGAAGTCTGAACGCGTTCTCAAAGCTGCAGCAACAGGGTGCCAGCTTCTGTCTTTCGTCGCGTTGTCGCTGTGACAATGGAAAGCAAGTGACGCGTGCGCATTTGCCGGCTGACCTTCAGACCAATATCCTCAAGGAAAAGGTGATAGCGAAAGATTTTATTTCAAAGGTAAGGCTAAGTGGTTAGGGGTCACGTAGCTCTCAAGGTTTTAATTCGTAGTTCTCAAGTCAACATCGTGGGGAAAGACTGTTTCGATTTTTTCCAAGGTGAACTGAAAAAAAAATTGTGGTTGACCTACTGGAGTATCACATTTGACGTACCTGTTCGAACTCCGCTCGACTAGCGATGACAGGTATTCCGTTGCCTAGCATGGCCAAAATTGTGAAATTTGATGAATCTTGTTCAGTGAAAACCCGAAGTTCGGCTCTTTGATGGGATAACTGCTTCACCAGCGATTCATCAATGGGGAAATCGCCTCCACGAGATACCAACACCACCAACGCTCGAGCAGTTAACTGAAGTTAAGAATTGTTGCTTTACGGTCAAAGAATTAACCAAAATTTTCAGCTTAGCAACTATGTTTTTCATGACCTTCACGCTTTTTAAGATAAAAAAAATAAAGTCTTCGCCGTTGATCAATCCCTTTGTGGCGGCACGCATTCTACTTCCATTCAGAATCGTAGTGGCTTTGAATGCGATGTGGCCTATACAATGACTTGCGGTGGCCAGCCGATGTACAAGTCAGTGTTTTATCCTCCCAGACGAATCTGGTACCAATTCACCGTCCCCGGAGGGTAGAAGGCTTGGTTGGCCTGGGCGGGAGTCGACCCGGGATTCGAACCCGGACCGCGCGAGTGGTAAGCGCGCCACTTGTCACTACACCACCTTCTTTTCTAGTTACTCCGTATATTCCTTTGAAGACATCTTCCACGAACAATGGCTCAGCTGTTTCCTTTATGATGTAATTTAAATGAAAAGGGATGAAAAAGTCTCATACCTGACTTTTCATTCCAAGAAGAAGAGCATCATAGGGTGATTCAGGAGGCGCGGACGGGTCTACACTCTCGACTGGCTGATTTTTCAGAAATATCTCGAAAACTTGGGAGTCGGTCGTCGATAGCATGACTGCCGGGCTTAACCCTCCTCCATCTGAACATCTCACCAAATGAGTAATAGATAAATGTCGTTTTTGAATGAGTTTTTTTGATTAGTACTTCTCACAAAACAAGTGCAGAATAATTGTAAGCCTTATTTATTTGAAGTAGCGTGTGTTGTTTACTCACAGTATACCAGAACAATTTGATTTCCGCCGATCGCTCTCATAATTTGAGTGGTAAGAGTCAAATTCAGTGGAGTAGGATGATCGCTCAACGACCAAAATAAGTGAAGAAACTTCGTTTGCGAGATACGGCAGTTGAGGTGATGAGGAACAGTTCAGCAAACCTGAACAATATTAGCATATTGGAAAGCTTCCAAACTGATGACCAATATTCCTGGAAACGTACTTATTTGGCAGAATTCTCCGGTATATTTGCCGGGATCGCATCCGCATGTATTGTCGGGGAGAGTCGTTCCTGTAAGCGGACTTGAAAAGGCGTCTTATTGCAAAAAAAGACCTCCTAAGACAGAAGAGATGTCTAGATTTCGAAATTTGAAGAAATATTTTCACGACATTAGAGATCACAAGATCCCCCATTTCGAGTGCTCTCTTCCACCTACACTCTGTAGCCCGAGGTTGCTGGGGCGGGTACCTAGTTGCGCATCTGCGGTTGTACAGGGGGCCAAAAAAAGTCACTTCGACCGAGTCACATATCAGCAAAGTTTTCGCAGCCCAGACAGAGGACGTGGATACGAGTACCAGGGCGGAAGATACCCAAGATGTTCCTCTATAAGCAGGAGCTGGCTCTCGCCCATCACCTTCATGTACACCAAAATATGGTCATCTCCAGTCGCAGCCTGACTGGAGAAGACCTTTGGAATTCATGTCACCTCCAAACAGCTGCGAAACTTCTAGTATGGAGTCACCCATGGATAGCTACCTGGAGACCAGTACTCTCGATCTGGAAGACCTCCAACATCGAGCAGCTCCGACAACGTCGCTACGGTCTAGGACATCATCTTCACCGCAGTCGCCAAGGCGCGGGTGATGGTATGGACCTGAGTACCTGGAATGGAAAGACCGATATTTTCTTCGTGAACCCCGGACTGAAGGTGAGCGCTGGCGGTTACATCAAGCAACTCGAGAAGATATCCTCTACATGTCGTCACCCGTACCTTCTTGGAAACTTTGTACTGCTACAGGATTGGGCGACACCACGTGGATTCGAAGGGCGTTGGAAAAACTCTCGCCCACTTGGAATGGAAGGACGTTGAGTACCTGAAGAAGATGGAATATCTAAGTAGGTCACCTGACCTAAACCCCTCAATTACCCGGTTCGGGCGGAGCTCAACAGGGTGGTCTACAGTGGCGGAGAAATCAACTATCTCGCTGAACTCAGGTACCCACTCACGGTCGCGTGGCAGAATCTCTCGATGGCGCTCCTCCAGAAGGCTGTGGCGGAGTATCATGATAGTATTTAATATGCTCTTCAATATGGTGGAAATGTCCGATCAGAATTTGATAAAGTGTATCTTATAACGCCTCGAAAGTTAAGGAAAAAAAAGTGGCTTTTGGGCCCCCTGTACAGTAGATATTGTTCGCTGCGGATGAGGAGGAGTGTCAGGGGGGAGGTGGGTTCAGCGTAGCGCCAGCCCGCCTTGCACCAATTCTGGAAACTGGTGGAGAACGAGCCGGCGCACTACCCAGCTCCTGGTACGACTCAGCATCAGCAGCGAACAGGACTGCATATCTACAGAACGTTATGGATTCAGGCAGGGAGGTGAGAGGCGTCTCGACGGATTTCTTTTAGGTCGTCCGCGCTCTCTTACACTCTTTATCCCTGAAACGGAGAGGGCGTGGCATTTGAACATGGCATAGAAAGGGTCAGTCGTGGGATATATGGTTTGAGACAACTGTCGTCCTGTTCTGCGTTCAACAGAGACACGACTATGACTGTGTCAAAATAAGAACTGTATCTTCTCAAAAACGCAACAACCACCGTAGTAGAAGTACGCAGCCATTCACTCATATCAGGAATTAGAATTCTATCTGCTTGCTGCCTGCGCCTTTTGTGCTCTCTTACACCAGCTATCTCACAAAAAAGTTCGTAAACAAACCACTTGACCAAAAAATCTGATAGAGAAAGATGGAAAAAAGCGAACGAAGGGTAGCCTCGAAAAGAGTGAATGCCAGCGGCTGTGGGTGTTCACTCTTTCCAAGGAACCTGGAGTGCAGTTTCACAGTAATAGCGAGGTAACGAGTGGTGTAAGTTGCACTGTACCCTGCTGTGAAAAAACGGCAATCCCTATTTTGTGATCTACTTATTCCCTCCCTGACTTCCAAAGTTTTCCCGGACCTATTCTCCACTAGTCATAAGTCCACTTTTCACTGAGATTCTAGTTATTTCCCATGTGAATTGGCCAGTTTCGCCAATTGACATAGAAAGTGAACCATGAAAAAGAGAAGAAAGAGAGGAAGAAAATGATCGAAAATTTGCAAAAAGGAATATAGAAGCGTAAAAATCTATCTGGGAAACGTTTTTGATAATCAAATGTACCTTGCAGTTATTGGTGGTAATCCGTTACGGAACAGAAGGCTTACCTCCATTCTGGCAAATCCGCGTCAGACAGTTCGGTCCTCCCCATCCCAAATCACAGACACAATTTCCATCCTGGTGGGACAGTATTTATTAATTGTTGCGAAAAATATTCAATAGCACCATATTTATATGCAGCTGTTCTAACCGGATCCGGTTTGCCATGGATACAAGTTGGGCCTCCTTTGTCAATACAAGTGAGGATTTGCGTTCGTGTGATATTCGTCGTGCCAATTGTAGAATCCACCTAAATCGTTTTCATCGAGGAATCAGAAATTTTCCAAAGTAGTAGGTGAAACGTCCACGGAAATCTACAGGGTATATCTGAGGATAGGATGGGGCGTCTTGGCGCGACTGCGTATTCCCGCACTGACTCTATTCTCTCACACACATGTCTCTGCTTCTCTGCCGTCTGTGCTCTCGCAGCCACCGCAGGGGCCGCGCACGATCCTCAGTTATGCACTGTGCTTCCCTTTCTCCCAAAAACTCCGTTTCCCGCTAAGTTGATATGAAAAGTATTTGTGAAGTGTTCACAAGCGTTCAAAATAACCATGTGGAAAAAAGCTTGTTCAAGCGTTCAGATAGGAGAAGACTAAATTTAACTCATCTCTCAATAGCCAATTTAGAAAAAACTACTTTTTGAAGATGGATCAATAGCGCACTTTGCTTCGATTTAGGCTATATATGAGCAAATGATGCAAAATACGATTTTCGAAGTTTTGGATTTTCTATGTTGCACAAGTAGATACAATTTTTCAAGCTTGATTGAATCCCACAGAGACGTCACCGCAATGACGCATTTTAATTGGTAACTTGTCTTATGGTTTTTCAGTGATTTGATGAAAACAATATTGAGGTCCACTCAGACCTAATGAACTCTCGCTCCACTCTGACGCTGTTTTGAAGTTCGTAGTTTACTACCATCTACTTTTTTGCCTTCGAGTATGGGCTAATTTATGCTGTGGCACATTACCTGCACTTGAAACACTCCATTCGGCTTGCTGCACCACCACTCATAGCTGAGAACAAATGGGAAAAGGCATCCGTCTCTCTGCATTGCTGGCACATGATCGACGAGTGTCTGGAAGGAAGAGATTCTTCATGAACAAATTACCGTGATATTGCCTTTAATAAACAGACGTGTAAAGTTAAGCATCAAAAAGTTACTTAGAGGTAGCTGGCACGATAATTTGGTACTCGGCCTAAATGCTGGCAGGGTTTTATATATCGAGAAAAAACGAAGTGATCAAAAGCCTTCAAAGAAAATCTTTTGTTCATAATAATTCGAAGATGCAATTTCGGACGAATTTCCCATAGGCATCTTGATAATAACCGCTACGATATGTACCCATAAATCCATGCAGCATCGCGGTGCTTCATAGCATTTCCTTCGCTTTATATTTACTCCGCAAATGAAGCAATACGAGCATCAGGTACGGTCGTCCATTTGTGGGCGGGCGGGTGCGGTGGGCGTTCGGGTCGGTATGTTGTAGCTTCCTTATAAGGGTACTTTTCTGAAAAAGGCGCTACGTAGCGCTTGCTCAGGGTCGCGGAATTCCGTCCTGCCAGGCTTATAATCCTACTCGTCTTAGCGATTTATCGTGCCAACTGCCTTTAAGGTAGTGGCGATGAGCCGTTGCTCAAGTGACTTTCGCCGGAAAGTCAGTGACATCCCAAAGCGCGTTGTTCTGACCTACTAGTACAGTTGCTTAAGGCCACAGAGGTCGTACAGGGGGGCTGGGGTTTCCGGAGATTACTCTTATATTTTCTCTTCACTGGCAATTTCCTTGATAACTTCCCTTCCATATTTCAACACCACTTAATACGCTTCCTATCATGGGCCGTACCTTCAACAGTGTCCACGGAGGAAGAAATGAAACTTGGTTGAGAATTTTTTCGCTCTTCAAATCCTCCTTCTCGACGTTTGTAACGTTGTGCTTCCGTACTTCGCTCCCATAACCGGTTTTGGGGAGATAATAGGGTAGATCACCTCCATAGAAACTCGGAGAGAAGAAAGGAGTGAGAGAGCGGATAAGCGGAGATGGTGGCGCAAGTGAAAGCCAGCATGTCATGCCTGGCCAGCCTACACAGTCTTGTTTGCTGCAGATGATGGGGCATGCCAGGGAGGTGGGTTTGGTGCAGCGCTAGTCCTTCTACCTTTTTTCCTTTTGGTGAGCGACAACACTGCATGCTATCGTCCGTATCTCCTATCTTCGTTTCCCACTGATTGTTGTCGATTACTCGCTTCAGCAGCTGGTGGAGAAAGAGCTGGCGGAGCGCCAAACCCAGTCTCATTGACACGCCCCATCAACCGCAGCGAATAAGGCTGTACACTGAAGTGGACTGTTGTCCAAAAAGAATGGAACTATTGTCCAAATCGAAACGGTATTTTTTCCATCCCAAGATAGAGAGCACAGTGAGAGAGCCAAAAAGGGAGCTCGGCGGGCTGTCTGTGCAGACTTCATCCTGAGGGTCAAAATTCAGTACGATACCATTTCCTTGGAGCGAAAACCACCACCCAATCTAGTTCAACAGAACTCTCGAGAATGAATTTCGCTCACCGTGCCATTCTTCGTCCTTTAGTGTAACCTTATGCTCCGATGTTTCTGAGCCGACCAACTTGACTGTGACGTACTGTGGTTGGTTGAAATATGTAATTAAACTATTCAATGCAGAGCCCACAAAATGAGGCACCAAACGCAGGCAGTTCTAAGAGAATGCAACTTACAAAGAGTCCCAGATTCACCGTCTCCGAGGGTATTGGAACGCCTACGTGCTAACATCTGGTAGTGAAATTGGGGTTCTGTCCAAAAACGAAGGCATTCCCCTTGAAAGAAGATAGTAATATAATGAGATGCCAATGAACCTCTGAGTGAGCGAAAGGCACAGTCAGATGGAAAACTTGCCGAGAAAGAAGCTCCATTCTGTTGAAATAAATTTTCAATGCATATGTGCCTGGAGCAATGTCTGCGCATTTGAAAGGCAGAAACACCAGATCGTCACCCGCAGCTTCAGGTGTACACACTTCCACTTCTTTATCAGTTGCAGCCGAATAGAGGGCAGCTTTTGTGACTGGAAAGCAGAGTGATAATCATTAGACTCATACTTCGAAAGAGTGACATGTTCACAAACTAACACCAGCAAGTCGTGTAATTTAGAGTGAAGGTAAAGAGAAAGAGACTGAAACCCAACCTTTTTGAGAACGGTAATGCATCTCAAAACAAACACCACCTTCAGCTCTGCAAGGCGCTCCTGGTTCCTGCCATGGGCGAGATGGATCCACCGCGCTGCCGCCCGGGTAGTCAAACGTCTAACCGTAGCCAAACGCACTACGTGTCTATGCCCTCATACTTCTAGTTGCTCTATACCTCTGACTGTGTTGCGGGATTTTGGTACCCATGCAAATGCTGCAACTTGAAAAGTGCTTGGGCGGCGTATGGAGACTGGCACTTGGGTACCATTACCCTGTTATCCTGTTCCCATGTCCTTTGAGCAGGAAAAGTGAAACGCTACTGCAGTTACGGGACTGTTCACCTCGCACATTCGGAGGCGAGGCAGTCGAAGCTCACTCCATTCCTTAGCTATACGAATTTTCCATGACTTAGGATGATTTCAAACTTCAACAAGTCGTGTGTTTACCTTCCACCGAAGACTACTCCAACTATAAGGTAAGACGACAGCGACCTAATTTTGGTCTACTAGTATGAATATGTGCCTTACTCAGGTCTCGTTTTGAGTTCGGGCGAGAATCAGGGATGAAACGGCTAGCGTTTTGAACGAGATGTTCCGTGAAAGCACGTGAAGTCAATCAAGAACTTTGAAAATCCCTATTTTTGCTGGGCTTCTGTTGCGGACCTCCCAAACACCTGCAGTTTCATTTTTGGCCTTACTACCCACGCTGCGATACCATAGAATGTGCCAAATAGCGAGTGATAAGGTTTTCTGGGCTCGCATACCCGTTGCTAGAGCAACCCATTCTTTGCCCCCTCATGTTACAAAACCTTTACCGACTCCACAGGCCTTGGCAATTTCTAGTCCAAGCTCTTGCTTGGTCGCATTGACCTTGACCAACGTCGGAGGCCAAAACAAGGGAACTGTTCCAACAGTTTATAGCAGTCCATTTTAGTCATTTTCACTCCTGACAAAATAGCTAGCACTTATCGCTAGGCTACGCTGACCCTCATATTCACAGTTTATGATAAAACCCTTCTGGCTAATCAGTGAACGAAGCCTTTTTTAAAATGTACTAATCAATAGGAAAGCTCGGGAGATCGGCAGTACGGATGCGCGTGACGCATGCAAGCTATGAGGCACCGTTCAGACTTCGAGATGACGCAGGATTGATGCGCCACATTCCAAAACGTTGGTTAACCTCGTTCACAGCACAACGTATAGCCCTAGGGGCATATAAGTGCAGTATCTAGTAATATAGAAGACTTTCTTTCCGTACCGAGAGAAGAGCCATTGGGGCTCACTAGGAGCGCTGAATAGTGAGAACTGTTGGAGACAGAGAACGAATCTGTTTCGATATATTGATTGCTGGCACCGGTGTAGTTGAAAGGTTTATAAGATACCATGTCACTCCCGACGATTCCACCAAAGAAATTGCCGAAAAACTAAAACAATTTCAGGAATTATTCCTTCATTATTACTTTATTATTATTTTACTTTATTCAAAAATTTTTTGCTTAAACCGCCTGTGAACTTTATACGCGCTTGCGCCACTTCACGCCAATTGGCGCCAACCACCTTTTGGACTAAAATGATGGGAACTTGCACACACCTGCGCAATGGGCTCACTAAGGCTGAGCGCATGCCCTACCTTAGCATGGCGCAGATGATCACAGTGCGCTACATTGGCGCTGGCGCCAAGAAAGAATGTCATATCCGTGATCAGGATGTGAAGTATCCCTCATTTACAGCTTTTCATCGACCTCGGTGAGAAAAGCTTAGGGGCCAAATCGGCGCCTACAGGGACCAAATGGCCTCAAAAACGGGTTTTGTATTCAGGACCACTGAACAACCTCTGTAGGGGAAGTTTCTGCAACAAATTCGTTTCTGGAGTAGTAAGAGTCGAATAGTGCTGGAACTTTATTTCATTTTCGAAAATGTTGTATATAGACGCTTACCTTGCGGACAGATGTGTAATCCTTCATTCTGAAGGCACCACCTCCACTTTTAATTGCCAAACTGCTGAATCGACCGAAAACATCACTCGTAAATGTCGTATAGGTTTCCACCAATATAAAATAGATCTGTAATGTAATAAGAGAAGTTTAGCACGAAAAGTTTCAATGAACAGTTCTTCTTCACCTTTAACCTCTTTGCATAAAGCGTTTGCAATAGGGTTATGTCTTCAATCATACCATCTCCAGACTCTGTGTCCACAATAACAATAATATCTAAAAGTCCATCATTTCATTTCGTTCATGCTGGCGTTGCAACAAACTTTAACAGCATGTAGACTTTTTTAATTTTTCTGTGGTTATCCATTGTAGCTTCTCAAAGGCTTATGGCACCAAATGTGTACTCGGTCTAAAATGCTAGCAAGGTGCTAAATAATGGGTAAATGAAGAAAAATCGAGGTGAGATGATCGAAAACCTGCAAAGACGAGCCATCTTTTTTGATGACTCAAAAAGCACTTTCAGACGAGATTTCCGTTGGCATGTTGCACAAAACCACTATGGTAGCTGCGACTGCATGTATGTACTCATGTTTCCGTGCAGCGTGCTTCATATCAGTCCCTTCGCTTCATATCTTTACACAGCAAATGAAGCAATACGAGCATCAGGTACGGTCGTCCATGTGGGCATCCTGGTCGGTATGTTGCAGCTTAAAAGGGCGCTGTAGGGGGCCCTTCCCTTCAGGGGCCCGGAATCCCGTCCTGCTAGGCGCATTAGTTTAACTCGTCTCAAAGGCAGTTGGCACGATAAATCCCCCAAGACGACTAGGATCAATACTCCTGGCAGGATAGAATTCCGCGACCCTGGGCAGGCGCTGCATAGCGGTTTCCCCGAGGAAGGTGCCCTTATAAGGGCCCTATCAAGCCACAACTTTACGTCCCAAACGCCCGCCACGCCCGCCCGCCCACAAATGGACGACCGTTCCTGACGCTCGTATTCATTCATTTGCTAAGCAAATTATGAAGCGAAGGGATTGGTATGAAGCGGCCGTGATGCTGCATGCATACATGGGTACACATATGCAGCCGTATCTTCGGTAGCGGTGATTGGTAAGATGCCTACGGGAAACTCGTCCGAAATCGATTTACAAGTCACTGAGAACGGAGGCTTTTTCTTCGCAGGATTTTGACCGTTTCACTCCGTTCTTTCGCCATTTCCCCACTATACAGCGCCCTACTAGCATTTTAGGCTAAGTAGGAAACCATCGTGCCAACTGCCTTTAAGGGTAGAGTGTACATTCTCATCCGTGGAACTGGTCCATGCCGTGCGTGTGCAGTAGCGTGCTACATTCTCCTGTAAAAATTGAATGGAATGGAGCTGAAGGGGCCCTAGCAATCCTCGAAATGCAGCTCTTCCGTCGACGTCTGCAACGAAACACGCACAGTCGAACCCGTTCTTCACCAGCTGTTGAAGCGAATAAGCGACAGACTGCTTCATATCGTTTGTAGCAGTCGCTCTCCATCAATCCGTTGTCATGTACTCGCTTTGCCGGGTTTGGCAACGCGTCAAACCCATTTAGCCGAGCACTCCCCATCATCTACAAGGAACACATCCGTGGTCCCTGATCCTTGCCGTACGAGGCTACAGAGTATTACTATCTGGACACCGTCAGCATACTATACCCAGCCACAGCAAAAAGCGCCCCTTTTCTGCTTGTTCTCTAACGCTGAGTACGTCTTTCGCTGCGTGACATTGATATTGACGCAAAAGCTACACCTTGAAGATAGCGCGGAAGACCACTACCCTACAGCACCTTTTCCGTGCACTTTTGAGCAGGAGAGCGTAGCACCATTCTGCCGCTGCGGACCGCAATCTCGCACATGACAAGGACCGTCCTCGAAGGTGACTGCACAGTTTATTTTCAGTGTTCTCCACGAACGCTCAACTTACCTAGTTTCGAAATAAGACCGTGCACAAAACTGGTCACAAGACTCCTGTCAACCAAAGTTCCCCGCTGCAAAGGCCCGGGGGTAGTTTCTCATCACATCTAGTGGTTGAGCACTTGGAGGGAGATGGAAAAGTAAGAGGAAAGAGAGAACGAGGGGGTGAAAAGAAGGAACGAGGAAGGAAGGTGAAGGAGGAGAGGAGGCTTCGCGGTCGACAATTGTCCTGAGACAGCACAACAAGTTCAAGTTGAATAGTGCGGTTCATGAGTGCGGTTTAATCGAATAAAAAAAATGTGAGTTCATCTTTTTTCCCCAGTCTATTGGATATAACTTATAATGTGCCTTGTATGAACTTTTATCAGAATTTTTCCTAATCCTGAATTATAAACTAGGAAACTAGTGAACCCCCCGTACATAAGGTACTACTTATCCATTTTCGGTTTCTCGTTTCAGTGGGTGCGGCTCATGTATTCCTTCCAAAGGTATACGATATTTGCATGTTGTCACTCCAAAGGGACCTGAATGGTTGCTGCTAACCGCTTTCTACTCTTCACATACGACTAGGGAAACCCTTGGATTGTGGAAGTGCTATAAATCAGTCTCTCCATCATTCATGAGTGTAGGCGGTACATGAACAACTGATTTTCATCATTTCGATTTTCGTCCACATTTTTTACTATTGTTGTATATTTGTACTCACCTTTACTGAAAGCATCAGCATTCGGCGACAGTAAATCGTCAGTATTTATTCAATTGTTTATCACCTTTTGATGCATCTAGCCCCAAAAAGATTTGGAAATTTCAGTACCAGTTTCAGCAGTTTCAGTAGTAGAAATTTCAGTTTCAGTTTCGCAAGTACCTGAGTAACTTTCATGAGCGATCAATGCGCTTCGCAAAGCT